AATCAGAAGTTTCTCCTCGGTCGGGCTGCAGTTGAAGCGTCACCTTTGACCCCTCCCTGCTGACCTGAGACACCTCAGTGAAAACAACTGTTTCACCACGTGAACTTAATCCGCCACAGAGAGCTGATCAGGGCGGGAGGCAGGAGGCAGCGGCTGTAATTAAATAAAAAAACAAAAAGAAAGAGAAGTCCTTTATTCGGCCTTCTTGAAGCAAGCCAACCTTCATGTAAACACAAACGTGTTCAGAAAGCAATTCTCCAGAACAGGATCCGCGCGTGTTTGTTCACTTTCAGCCCACGTGAAGGTGGGGGAACACCACCCGGCACGCAGAAGAAGCAGCGCGTGCTGGAACAAATCCCGGAGCATCATCATCTGTGCACATGTCAGGCCCCTCTCGGAGCCGCCTCGGTGTTTCTGCACACATTTTCCAACAACATCCTAATTGCACGGCTCGTGCGGGACAGCCGTTTGATCCCGCTCCTCAGTCACGCGCCGCGGCCTTTAAATGTAACCTGACAGCAGATAAACCCAAAGCACGTGTCACAACCAGGAGAAAGTGAGGGGGTGTTGCTCTTCTCATGTCGGGACGCAGCAAATATTTCTTATTGTACGGAAGTGAACAGAAGACGTATTTCTGCAGAGCCAACGCTCGTGATAATAACTCGTGAATCCCGCAGTGCCTGCGGAAACTCCGCAAACGTTCAACGAATGTAAGAATTTTACAGAAAAACCTCTGAACGCCCGCAGCTTCTCTGCGCGCTGATTGGTTRGTCATGCGCCAAACCGTGACTCAAGTCCAGCAAACTGACGTCTTATGAAGCTCATGAGTTAAAGCACCATTATCAAAGCAAAGTGATTTAAATTTAAGATACAAACATCCTGCAGTAATTCTGTGATTTGTTCTGAACACATTCGTCCCCATAAAAATGTTCATGCCGGCCTAAATCCAGCTTTCCCAGCTAAACCTTTRTCCTTAAAGAACCTGCGTTTGGATAGATTTTACGCATCTTCCTTTCATGTGTATTTACAATAAATGACGTCWCTGGGTTACAACAAACTGTTATGAAAAACCCAATCCTTGTGTTTTTCATATTAATAAACCAAATTAAATTGTTTAGATGGAAATGTCTTATTCTGAAAGGATTACTTACAAGAATAAAAGTGTGTTTCAGCTGATAGCTTTGACTTACTGAGGATTTAAATGCGCACCTTTTTTTTTAGTAAAACCTAAAGATTTATCCAGATGACGTTCCCTTGTAATGAGCACRCACATGAACAGATTCTCCATCTTATTATTGTTTTTTAATCCAGAGCCACATGAGAGGGTGAAGATCTTAATATTGCATAAAACCCATCCAATCTGTCTGAATAACAAACATGTTGGTTTATCCTCAGCTTTCTGGAGGAGAGGCGAGGTGGAGGGGTGCGGTGTCAGGGAGAGGACGGGGGGGTGGGGGCGGGGGAGGTGCATTCTAGTTGACTTTTCATGTCAATTGTTTCCACCAATGCGCGCGCTCCTAAACGCAGCTGGAGCCGCTCTGACCAACCGGCAGCGTTCTCTCCACAAAGGCCGGCCTCCTGACTGCTACAGATTGAAATGTAAGCCTGTCTCACGCGCCTTCAGGAAACAGAAAGAGAATTTAGTCCCTCTTGTTCATTTTCGTACAGGAAGATATTTTATTTTATTTCATTTTTTTCCTTGAACGCGACTCTTAAGAGCAGGCACGCTGGACGCTGGGCTGGATCCACCGAGGACGCGCAAACCGGACACCGTTTTCTTCCTTGGCGGTTTTAACACGATGGGTGAGTTCAGAATCCGAATCTCCTTTTTTTAAATTTGGTCAGGGATGCAGAAACCAGCCAGGAAATCCAGCAAGAAATCAGATGTTTCGGTGGATACAAGTGAAACAAACAACCAAACACGGACTGGAGATTTATTCGGCAACTTTTACGCACAAGTTTTGGCAGCGAGAATATCCGTGTGGAGTTCACCTCGTGCTGTTAAAGCTTTCACAGCTTTAGGTCAGCAGTTAAGCTTTATTAAAAAATACCACATCATTTAAAGTCTTGCAGTGGTTTCATGAGAGAAAAGTTTGTTGAACCCAAAGCGTAAAAAGCAAAAGTTTACAGATGAAAAACACAGATTTGTTGGCACTTTCCTTTATAATTAAAATGTGTGTGTGTGTGTGTGTGTGTGTGTGTGTGTGTGTGTGTGTGTGTGTGTGTGTGTGTGTGTGTGTG